AGTGAGTGAGAGAGTGTTGCCCTGGGTTACAGGATGTCGTAACGGCAGCGCAGCTGATCTGTGGAGGGGGGCTCAGGCTCAGGCTCACAGTGAAGCAGCTCCTGTTTCAGCTCTGATGCCTCCACTCTGGCTCAGTGGTGCAGCCCACTGCGAGCTCAGATCCCCCCGCTCTGGCTTAATGGTGCAGCCCGCTACAAGCTCAGATCCCCCCGCTCTGGCTCAGTGGTGCGGCCCGCTGCGAGCTCAGATCCCCCCGCTCTGGCTCAGTGGTGCGGCCCGTTGCGCGCACAGATCTGTTATTGTGCAGCGCTGCAGAACACACAGACGCAGGCAGAGTGTGTGTGTGTGTTGTGTGTGCGAGCTGCTCATCGCCTTCAGAAACACCGTGGAGGAACAGCAGTGGAGACGGGTGTGTGTGTGTGTGTGCGCCGCATCTCTGTGTCCTCCAGCCTTTATTCTCCTGTGAGGAAGAGGAGGAGGAGGAAGAGGAGGAAGAGCGCCCCCTCCCCTCACGGCCAGCAGAACGCTCCGGAAAGACACACACACACACACACACACACACTGTGTTTTCTTCGTCCTGCTTCTGCTCCTCCGTCTCTCGGGAGCCTGCGGCTTGCTGATGTCCGTCAACTCAGAGAAATCCTCTTCTCCAGACAGGTAACACACACACACACACACACACACCGCCGCGTCCGCATCACCTGCTGTCCTCCATCTCATCCTCATCGTCTCGCTGTCTGTCTGTGTGTATGTGTGTGTGTGTGTGTGTGTGTGTGTGTGTGTGTGTGTGCGTGTGTGTGTTGGCCTGATAACAGATGCAAACAGAGAAAACACTGTAATAGATTTCATACTGTACACACACACACACACTCACACACACACACACACACACACACACACACACACACACATCTGCATCCACCTCTTATAAACAGAATTGCGTGCCGAGTCCTCAGGATCAGCCGTGTCGGAGCTTCACACACACACACACACACACACACACACACACACACACACACACACACACACACACACACACACACACACACACAGACGCTGATCTACAAGACAACTCTAGTGATCTGATGAGCTGTGTGTGTGTATGTGTGTGTGTGTGTATGTGTGTGTGTGTGTGTGTGTGTGTGTGTGTGTTCTCTGTTGCGCTGAGTGTCATCAGGCTGTGATCTGGGCTTCAGGAACACACTCCGCCGATCTGAAACTGGCTGCACACACACACTGGAGGATTGTGGGACGGTGTTGGCGGTCGACGTGCCCTGAATACGGCTCAGCGGCTGTATATGCATGAGTCTGCGAGGTGTTGTGATGTAAAAATGAGTCACTGAGCACACACACACACACACGCAGGGACAGAGACGGCTACAGTGTACCCTGCTGCTCCTGATTTACCCTGGTAGAGGCGTCCTGACGCGGGTCTTTACCTGAGGTCAGACGATCACGAACAGTCTCCTTTCACAAACATTCGGCTGATCTGGATTTCAGCGATGCTTCTGACTATGTGGACGGTGCCGGAGCAGCACGTCTGAGAGGAGGAGTAGAGGAGCTGAAGGCAGAAAGGAAAGCAGAGCTGGAGGAGCTCTAGCAGACATGATCAGCTCCAGCTCAGGGTGGTGCAGATGTGTGAAACACTGAAGAGCAGCTCCATCAGTCCAGCGGGACAGCAGACACCCACTCCACCAGCTGACGGAGGAGAAGAACAAACCTGTGGAGAAACACCAGACTCAGCAGCTCCAGTTCTGCTCTGACCAGTGTTCCTGTGTGGAACTGCAGCCTGGAGGAGACTGGAGAACACTGGAGGAGGCTGGAGAACACTGGAAGATGCTGGAGAACACTGGAGGAGGCTGGAGAACACTGGAGGAGACTGGAGAACACTGGAGGAGGCTGGAGAACACTGGAGGAGACTGGAGAACACTGGAGGAGACTGGAGAACACTTGAGGAGGCTGGAGAACACTGGAGGATGCTGGAGAACACTTGAGGAGACTGGAGAACACTGGAGGATGCTGGAGAACACTGGAGGATGCTGGAGAACACTTGAGGAGGCTGGAGAACACCGGAGGAGACTGGAGAACACTGGAAGATGCTGGAGAACACTGGAAGATGCTGGATAACACTGGAGTAGGCTGGAGAACACTGGAAGATGCTGGATAACACTGGAGTAGGCTGGAGAACACTGGAAGATACTGGATAACACTGGAGGAGACTAGAGAACACTGGAGGAGGCTGGAGAACACCGGAGGAGACTAGAGAACACTGGAGGAGGCTGGAGAACACTGGAAGATGCTGGAGAACACTGGAAGATGCAGGAGAACACTGGAAGATGCTGGAGAACACTGGAAGATGCTGGAGAACACTGGAGGAGGCTGGAGAACACTGGAGGAGGCTGGAGAACACTGGAGGAGACTGGAGAACACTGGAGGAGACTGGAGAACACTGGAGGAGACTGGAGAACACTGGAGGAGACTGGAGAACACTGGAGGAGGCTGGAGAACACTGGAGGAGGCTGGAGAACACTGGAAGATGCTGGAGAACACTGGAGGAGACTGGAGAACACTGGAGGAGGCTGGAGAACACTGGAGGAGACTGGAGAACACTGGAAGATGCTGGAGAACACTGGAGGAGACTGGAGAACACTTGAGGAGACTGGAGAACACTGGAGGAGACTCAAGAACACTGGAGGAGACTGGAGAACACTGGAGGAGACTGGAGAACACTGGAGGAGGCTGGAGAACAGTGGAGGAGGCTGGAGAACACTTGAGGAGACTGGAGAACACTGGCAGATGCTGGAGAACACTGGAGTAGGTTGGAGAACACTGGAGGAGACTGGAGAACACTGGAAGATGCTGGAGAACACTGGAGGAGGCTGGAGAACACTGGAGGAGACTGGAGAACACTGGAGGAGCCTGGAGAACACTGGAAGATGCTGAAGAACACTGGAAGATGCTGGAGAACACTGGAGGGGGCTGTAGAACACTGGAGGATGCTGGAGAACACTGGAAGATGCTGGAGAACACTGGAGTAGGCTGGAGAACACTGGGGGAGACTGGAGAACACTGGAAGAGGCTGGAGAACACTGGAAGATGCTGGAGAACACTGGAAGATGCTGGAGAACACTGGAGTAGGCTGGAGAACACTGGAGGATGCTGGAGAA